TAGTTATTGTTTTGGTGCCTACTGCCAATATAAACAGCTCAGCCTATTCTAACTGATTAACAGGCTTTTTTATCTTATGGTAGTAAACCTCTAACGCAGGTAACTAAAATAAATGGACGTTTGTAATTTTATTCAACGCAACCGCTTTGTTTTTGTTCATGTGGTTTTGTCAGACGAACACACAGTTACCTCTCTTTTCATAGATATTTATCAAATATTTCAGTTTTCACATTTGAATCGTGTTCAGTGATAGATGAAAAGCAAAACAAATACACAAATACTCTTTGAACTGTTTAAAAGTTGAATATATTGTCATTCTAAATCGTGTTACTGCGTTCAACATTTACACTTCGTCATTTTATTAGTTTTGAATATTAAGCGGTCTTATGTAAAATGTTTACGATAAAAGTAATTCCGCATATGAAATGATTGTGAGAAATTCTCAGTAGGAGACAACAATTTATGTCATTGATTGCATTTATTTTTAGATTTAGAATTCAAAACTTCCTTTTAACATCAACGGATCATTTTTAAAGCCAATTCGACTTTGATATGAAAGATGCCTGAACACTTTGATTTGAATTATTTTTCATAACATTGTATCTTTCGTTCTTTGTTGTATATAGATTTAAATCACATTTTCACAGTGCTAAAGGGCATCATGTTATTAGATTTATTGGGTCTAATTCCCAAATACCAGTAAATATTTGTCTGATTGAATGTTGAATTTTTGTAATTTTCATCAGCATGTTACATTTTGTCATGTATATCTTCAAAATAAAACTGTAACTACGCCTGCATTCTTAAACATATTGTATGTTTTGAATATTAAACTTACTTAACATAATTTTGTTTTTGTTAAATAAATTGCAGCTTTCAAAATATTCATAAAAAATCTCAGCATGACGCAACGATGTCAGTGTATGTCGGTATTTAAACTCTAAATTTGCACATCTAATATGAAAAAAGCACTTTGAAAGTCAATTTAAAGTATCATAGTACGTATATTTGACGAACGTATGAACAATTGAATTTGATGAATAATTCGGTACATTATATCGGTCGGAATTTGTTAACTTAAATTGATATATATCTGTATGATACGAATGTCAGAATATTATTATAAACCTCCCAGTGTGAGGCAAAAATAACAAACATATCAGTGATTAAAGTTTTTTTTTTACTTGAAAGCACACTAATAATAGACAAGCAAATTTAGAATTCGATTTTATATGAAGGATTTTTCATTTCTTATGGATGCGTGCATGCATTACTTCGAAATAAAAGTTACGATGATGATATAAATATCGTTCTCAAAACTTATAAACCGACTTCATAACACTTTCGTTGAAATATTGCATTAAAATCTGTAAATTTGTTGATTACAATTTGCTACCCTTCAGAAGAAACTAGCAACTATCGTCAACGCATGCTTTGTATAATTGCTTAAACGCAAAATTATTTCCTAACATCTTGACATACACTACACCATTGTATTTTTTGTTTATCAAATATCATAAACATTTTGATGTGTTATGTTTTGAGAACTGATTCACTAATTGTTAAAAAATTTATGAAGATATCACACACACTGTTAGGCACTGTCCATTGTGATACGTTATTCCCTCATAATAATCAGAAAGCTTATAAGCTCGCTGTAGGCATAATGACACGGTCTTAAGTGTTCTTGAAAAAAAAAAAATCAGACATTATTATTCAAACAATTTTTCATTAAAATGTGCTGTTCCAAGTCAGGAATATGGCAGTTGTTTTATGATTGTTCGTTTCTATGTATGTTGTATTGGCGTTTGTTTTTGTTGCACTTCAGTGTTTCTGTTGTTTCGTTGTTTTCCTCTGATAGTTGATGTGTTTCCCTCGGTTATAGTTTGTAACTCGGATTTGCTTTCTCTTTATAGATTGATGACTTTTGAACAGCGGTATACTACTTTTTCCTTTATATATGTAAAGTGACTAAATGAAAGGGCAAATTCAAAGTAGTAACTTATAATCGATCTTCCAATTATTGACTTCAATTGATACATTAGCGACTGTTTTTATTCGTGCAAATAAAAAATGTTTTCGAATGATCAATTATTTAAAGACAAACACCTTTCAACCGTGTTCTCAAGAGTGTGTAGTCAAATCTTGGCCTTTGATTCTGTTTCCCCAACCAATTATAAGATATCATTTGATGGTAAAATCGCATTCTTGGTAGGTATATGTGTTATCGTATTTTCTTGACGATACTATACTTTCAGCATCTTTTAATATATTTTTTTGGATTGTGTGCATACAGATCAGTATATAAAAAGTCTATTTTTCTGGGTACAAAAAAGGTCTCTTTATAGTATGATTTTCTGCCATATTAATTTGTCGATCATGTTATTTCATCTATCATTGTTACGCAACTTTGAACATGGTATTCAAATGTTGTAATTTACCATACACTCCTGATTACACCAATGTAATGAATGTATTCTTATGAAACAATACATTACTTATTCTTATACCTGGGTATCAAATTGAAAAATCTTCAGGAAAACTTCCACTTTTCATTTCAACACCGATATCGTAGCACGTTGGTAAATATAACTCTGATATTAATTCGAAATAGTTTAAATAAAACATTAATACTCTGAAATAAAAAAAAAAAGGTTTCTGCTGGGATAGGTACATGTGTCAATACTGGGTCGATACCTTTGCTGGTGGACTATCAGTCCCCGAGGGTATCATTAGCTTAGTTGTCGGTACATCATCAGTTGACCTTAAATGGAATTTTTTCCTATAACTAGGTATTTTTGTCATATAGCTCTTCAACTGTGTGTGAACTTATACATCCTCGGCTTTCAAATGTTTGGCTTTGGACGTTCCTGATGAAGGTAAATCCAGAAAAGCGCTTCGGACGCATGAAAATATTAACGTGTTGTTTTCAACTTTTTTTTTAAAGATAAACGTATGTAAAAATGCAAAATGCCAAAACACATGTATAGACACTAAAGAAGCAGTTAGCGTTCCTCCTTTATTTCAAAATATTACATCTTATATACGTCTTTGATACTTTATAAATTATAAAGATTTGTGTTATCCATAGATAGTCTAGAAAATATTCATCTAATAAGCACTTATCAGAAAAACAATAATAAGATCGTAGGTTCATAATTGCGGTTTTTTTAAATCTAAAGTATAACTTAACTTATGTCGAATATAAACTGCAGTGGCACAACTCCTACTTACTTTTCCAAGCAGGATTAAAAAAGCAAATTCTTTAAGAACGTTCCAAAAAAGTTATTGCCATATCATAAGTTTATGTGACATTATAAAAACTTTACTACAGTATAAACTTATCTTTAAACCAATGATTTTAGTAGAAGGATATACAATAAACACATCATAAATACCAGGACTGAAGTTTTGTATTTGTGCCAGACATGCGTTTAGTCTACAAAACACTCGCCAGTGCAGCTCGAATCATACAAAGTTAAAAATAGACAAATAAATTACGATGTTTAAAGAGCATGTAGGACCAAGCTATTCCTAAACGTATTGCCAAATACAGCTCATGTAATCTATTCCTGAGGTATAACTATTTAAAAAATGCACAGTTTTGTAAAGAGTTAATTTATAATTATAACCATATCAATGATATTTCATGGCAACACCAAAGTGCTGACTACTTGGCTGGCTATACTCTCGGGGAATAAAAACTCAACCAGTAATGACATCGACCCTCCGGTGGTGTATAAACTCAGCATAGAGATCAGGAATATAATTCTGTATTTGCACCAGACTCCAAAAAATTGTTTTAAACTACTACTATATAGTTTTCAAATGTACCAGGATTATAATTTAATACACAAGACGCTCGTTTCGTCTACATAAGACTCATCACTCATCAATGACGCTCAGATCAAAATAGTTATAAAGCCAAACAAGTACAAAGTTGAAGAGCATTTAGGACCTAAAATTCCAAAAAGTTGTGCCAAATATTTGTTGTGGCAAAGGTATTCTATTCCTGGAGAAAAAAAATTCTTTGTTTTATCGAAAAATTCAAAGCTTAGTAAAAGGGAATTGATACAAATGACCATATAATCGATATTCATGTCAACACATAGTAGTGCTGACTACTGGGCTGGTGATACCCTCAGGGACGAAACGTCCACCAGCAGTGGCATCGACCCAGTGGTGTTAATAGTTATCAAAGGTACCAGGATAATAATTTAATATGCCAGACACGCGTTACTATAAACTACTTTAATTAAAAACGCATTCTTTTTTTATAAAAGCTAGTGGCATTTTTTGCGTTGCCAACTAAATTGATAACCAGATCTAACAAAATGGATATATAATTCGTCTAAACATTAGCCCAACAATGTTAGATCTGTTAATAAATGCAACAGTAGTATATCGCTGTTCGAAATTCATAAATCGATTGAGGAAAAAAAATCCGGGTTATAAACTAAAACTGAGGGAAACACATCAAATATAAGACAAGAACGACACAACAGAAACACAACACTAAAATGCAACACACACAGAAACGAACTATAATATAACAATGGCCATTTTCCTGACTTGGTACAGCACATTTTAAGAAAAAATGGTGGGTTGAACCTGGTTTTGTGGCTAGCCAAACTTCCCTCTTTTATGGCAATGTTAAATATAACATTAAAATGACAACATTACATGACAGGAATACAATACAAATTAACTTTTACAGGTTTTACTGCATATTTTATATGTGTAGTTAGGACATGATTGTCTCTTAAATGATTATTGTGGTAATACATTTATACAGTACACACGTGATACAAATTTTGAAGCGTTGATATAACCATTCAAGCATTGTGTATCAAAAAAACCAAAAAAAAATACAAAACAGATATATCCAGTACAGAAGTCCGAATACTCTCAGGAAAAAAGCCTTGATATACATGTACCACAGCCACTAGATTAAGCTCTAAATTAAAATGTTTCAATCAATCATATTCGATAAGAAAAAATCAATTGCAAGAAGTATTTTATTGATAAAATAGAATGAATAATGAAAGTGTAAAATACGAATATAGGTATTGACCAATTATTGTTAAAATTTTTTGAAGATATTAAATCAATTAAAACTTTAAATTACATTAATGTTACATTTCGTTTTTACAAAATATACATACATGATAATATAACATTGCATACTACTGTTAATGATTGTTTATACATATTTAATTATATCATAGTCCATGGTCGATTCCAATTGTTTGCGAGCATTTTCTTCCGTACATGTTCAATTCTATTTTCCATGTTTTCCTTTTCTGAGTAACCTGAGCTTTTCAAGTTTATTAACAATTTTCTCTGCTTCAACTTCGTTTTTCTTTTTGTACAAATTCGAACCAACAGCTTCATTTTTACCTCCTTTGTCGAGACCCCTGGATACAGCTTTGTGAGCACTCGATTTTGCTATACTCCGTCTTGCAAGTGGGTCTGTATGTTATTAAAAGTACAATATTGTGTCAATGTAAGAACAATTTTATGAAATCAAAAGTGTATGATGCTTTCGACAATGTGGAGGGCGAGTTGTCATAATTTTTGGCCCATTTAGGAATGAAACATACATTTTATGTGTGTATTATCATTTTAAAGAATTAGTATTGTATCAAAAACACACATATAAAGTCTATATAAGGAATATAACAATCAATTAGGAACCCTATAATAGCTGACTAAACAAAAGGGTTAATCGTGCCGAAATATATGCATGTAAATTCGTAAATCCGAAATAAAACTTGTGTGCCAGTTAATATGACATTGTTTGACATTGTACACGCAACCTTTTTGTAACTATATTAAGGAAATACAGACAACAAGGTGTGTTCAATAATAAAATCGTCTCTATATTCAAAGTTGATTTGTCCTTATCTTCAATCTTTGATTTTATTTATAAGTTGCTTTATTACTCTCTGAACTAGCTGTCAGTAACCTCGAGCACTCTCAGGTCTGTGTCTTTTTTGTTTTCGGGATGCACAAGTACCCGGCCATGTCCACTCGGTGCGTCGGTTAGATATAATTCTATCTGCATCCGTCTGATGATTTAAGCCTTATTCAACTGATTTGTATAGTTTGTTCTTATTTTGTATTGTTACATCACTGGCGCACCAGTTAACATGTTTAAGCACCCCCCCTACACACACACATACACACAATATGTATGTTTCTCTCCAAAGTCATGAGCCTGTCATTCAGGGGTTGTCATTTATTGTTGTGTTACATATTTGTTCTTTGTTCATTAATGTTTACATAAATTAGGCCATGATTTTTCTCGTTTGAATTGTTTTACATTTGTAATTTCGGAGCTTTTAAAGCTAGCTATGCGGTATGGGCTTTGCTTACTGCTTAAGGCGGTACGATGACCTCTAGTTGTTAATTTCTGTGTCATTTAATCTTTTTGGAAAAGATTCGCAATCATATAACATCTTTTTTTATTCAAAATGAAGGCTAAAATTTGGAAGAACTCATTTAAGATATGTATTATTCTAAACGGACCACAGCTTTTGCTTGAACATGTCAAGGTAAAAAACATTTACTCTTTAAAAATACTTTTACTTACTATAAATATTCCAACAAAGATTGAAGCACCCCCGTTCGTCCGAGCCATCACCACAATCATCCATCCCATCGCATACCCAAGACCAGATAATACATTTGGAATCAATAGCGCAAAGAAATTTATCACTTTCACAAACTGTAATTAAAATTTATGAAATGTGTTTTCATTTTTATTTTCTGCAACACAACGGTTCATGCAAGATATTTAAGCTTCAAGAATACAAGGCATACTTCCTGGTTTAACATGTGATTATATAATGGTGAGATTTTCCGATTTAATTCTTTCCTGGATACTCATCTAATTTTTAAGAGATTGCTGTTGAAATTATATAGATGTAAAAAATTGTAAGGACTCTTGTACATGCATTCTACATTATAAAGTAAGCAAGAATGTTTGTTTTTAGTTTCTTATGGAAAGCCTCAGCTGTCATATATTAGAGATTTACAAAACGTTATGCTGTAGCTTAAAATGTAAAGTTAAGGCAGCGTGATGTTGAATTGAGTCATCAAAATGCTAACTCTAAATTACAATATGCTAAGTTGAATTTGCTCAATGTTGACTTACAATGACAAGTGCTTTAGTCGTGATATTATAATGATAAGTCACGATGTTGTGATGATATGCCAAACACACGTAACGTTGGGTTTAAAGTACATGATGTGAAGTTGACGTTGCATGATGTTAGCTTGCAGATGTATACTGCTCAGTCATCCACTTCGATAGCTATGATAACAAATAAAATGAATAGCTAAAATGTATGGTGCTGACTTGTTATTAATAAATGTTGAGCTTAGATAGTACGATGTTATATCATTGTGATATTACGATTGGTCTATCATGCAATCTGTTGATTTAAAACACCATGATGTACAGTTGAAAGTACATGATGTTAAGTTAAGATAACACGATGCTACACCACTATATTGAAACGAAAGGCTTACCATACAAGTTGTTGACTTAAAACAACACGATGCAACGTGTAAAGCTAAGATGCTCCCTTGAAACTACCCGACGTACAGTTGAAATTTTGTAATGTTTAGCTACGATAGCACGATGTTATATCATTATAATGTCACAACAGGCTTATTATACAATTTGCTCATTTAAAACTACATAACGTACAGTTGAAAGTACGTGATGTTAAGCTAAGATGGCACGTTGTTAAATCATTAGAATGTCACGACAGGCTTACCACACGATATGCTCGTTTAAAACTACACGACGTACAGTTGAAAGTGCGTGATGTTGAGCTATGATAGCAATATCTTATATCATAATAATATCACGATAGGCTTGCCATACAATATGCTCATTTTAAACTACACGACGTACAGTTGAAAGTACGTGTTGTTCAGCTAAGACAGCACGATGTTATATCATTATATTGTCACGATAGGCTTGTTATACAATTTGCTCATTTAAAATTACACCACGTACAGCTGAAAGTACGTGATGTTAAGCTAAGATAGCACGTTGTTATATCACTAGAATGTCACGATAGGCTTACCATACGATATGCACATTTAAAACTACATGACTTTCAGTTGAAACTTGGTGATGTTAATATTAGATAGCATTTTGTTATATCATTTGAATGTCACGATAGGCTTACCATACAATATGCTCATTTAAAACTACACAACGTACAGTTGTAAGTATGTGATGTTGAGCTATGATAGCACGACGTTATATCATAATAATATCACGATAGGCTTGCCATACAATATGCTCATTCAAAACTACATGACGTACAGTTGAAAGTACGTGTTGTTGAGCTAAGATAGCACGATGTTATATCATTATGACGTTACGAGAGGCTTATCATACAATGAGTTGACTTGAAACTACACGATGTAAATTTGAAATAGTTTGGTCTTGACTTGAAACAGTAAAATGTTAAGTTATAAAAACAGAACGTAATGTCAAAATAAAACAATGATAGGATGACATATACTTGTGCAGAATTGAAGATTTTTGGTGTTGACTTCGAATATAGTACAAATATTAGATCGTTTTATGTTAAATTGAAAGACAATAATGATGCGTAAAACATTACAGAATTATGTGAACTGAAACTGCAATTCTATGGAAAAGAATGAGGGACAAATCCCCAGGATATTTCCTTCTTCATTTGCAAGTTCGGAGGCAAAATGATATACAAAGAAAGTTTTCCATAAATTCATAAAGCAAAAGAATTACCCATCGCTATATATTACACTTGAATACAGTTTTGCCGTATATTTTACATGTTTTGTTTAGATCTTTTTTTATGATTAAAAACCAGACTTTTTTTTATGAACAATATTTTAGAAAATATTTATCTATGTTGTGTGTTAATATATACAACATAATATTGTGCATATAAGACTTATGACTGTGAGGGTCAAATTTTACTCGTATAAAATCACATCTATGTAAGAGTTAGCGGAGAATTTGTATTTACCACTTCCGTTTTCCCCGAAATAAAACATAAGAATCTGGAGTCTAAATCTTAAAAAACAAAGATCAACTGATATGACAAATGATACGCTAAAGCGTAGGACTGAGAGGGTCAGAGCTATATGAGAATGTGACCCCCCGGCCTTGTTGGAGGTATCTGAAAATTTGAATTTGTTTTTCCACGAAATAAAACAAAAAGAATTGATAGGTGGAAGAATCCTACTGCATGGGGCCAACCCAAACATAAAGTATGGTAGATTCTGTTGTATACTTTTCGCTCATACATAAAGTCTATATGAAACCAAATAAAATTTGACCTAGAGCCTCCAGCCTAAATCGTCAGCTTTAAAAAAAATACATCATTTACAGCAGTGCCAACCATTTGTCCAGCACCAAGTAAGATAGTGCCCAGGTTCATGTATATATCCACTCGGAGAATATTTCATTTTTTTAAATTTGTAAAGTCATTAATGGACAATGACCCCTATAACTTATAATAAGAAGCCAATTAATGATTTCCGTCACTTATTTTCTTGTCCATTGTGATTTTGTTGGTTCTTTGGAGCTTCTCTCTAACTATATGTGTTTTCAAAGAAAAAGAAAAAAATCAAAAATCTGTACAAATTGTTAAAGTCCATGAATTATTTTGGTATTGCTTTGATTAATTTGTAGATATGTTTTTTTGATGTCAACAGTTTCTCTCTCTCTCTCTCTCTCATAGTTTTCATGAGTGTGGTCAAAATTAAAATCGGTAGATTTTTTTTTGCTTATTTGCCAAAATGTAGTTTGGGCCACAGTGCATTTTGCAAGATACAGGTTATGCAGTATTGTCAGATTTTGTATAAACTATACATGGAAAACTCAATGTTGGAAAATAAAAATAAAAATTGGGATCACGAGACTCGTTTTCTGTCTACAAAACAAAATAGATAAAGTCCCTACACATTCCATCATTAGAGACGAAATATGCCAAAGGGATTTCAACCTCATAAGTCGAAAACAGACTGACAATGCCATGGCAAAAAATAAAAAAAAAAATAAAAAACGACAAAAAGTAATGTTATCCGAGTTATCTCCCCTATATGGAAAAGTTGAAAAAAATATGCAAAAAACGGTCTGTATTCAAAAACAAATAGTCGTTTTAATTAAATAAATCTCATAATTTTCTTCATCAAGATAAAAAAAGTACTACATATGAATAACATTCCTCTCTCAAAATGTGTATATTTTTTTTAGATCTAGACCGATTGTGTTGAGCGCTACCATGTGATTTTTAGGGGGGGGGCTAGGATGAAAAATTTTGTCCTGCCTTTTTTTTAGTTGTAATCTCTGTCCTGCCTTTTTATTTTTCACTCTATTCGGTCCTGCATTTTTTTTATTATTTTATTCTGACTATTTTTTTACATAAATTGTCATCCTGCCTTTTTTTTTTTTGCCAAGTTGCTCATCCTGCCTTTTTTTTTACTCAAAACTCCTGTCCTGCATTTTTTCAAATTTCATCCTAGCCCCCAATAAAAATCGAATGGTAGCTCCCTAAGATGGCGGAAGACACCCGATCTACCCTAAGGGCAATATATCTAATGAGGAAGAAATTTACAATTTCGGTCACGTCGAGTTACTTGTAGATCTCCTTTTGTTGAAAAGGGTTTCTGTTTTCATTTATCTATCTATTATACTGTTCATGATGAGGGGAGAATCAAAAAAACAAATACACAAAAATGGATAAAAGAAGGCGAAAGATACAAAAGGGATAGTAAAAATCTTAACCAAACTGACAATGTCATGACAAAAACTCATCAGCCCAAATAAACGAGAGAAACAAGATCAAAAGCCAAACAACAGTATATTAAGAGCAACATATAGAAAACCAAAAACTGAGCAACACGAAACCCTCAAAAAAGGGGTGATCTCAGGTGCTCCAGAAGGGTAAGCAGATCCTGTTTCATATGTGGCACCCCTCACTTGGCGATTTTGTAAATAAAGTAGGAATGTTTTATAATTTTCGAGGAACTCCTAAAAAACATAAATTACAGGGTGTCAAATCGATGAACGTACTTAGAATAGGCTCCTTTTCATAAAAAAGAATTGATGAAAATGTATTTGTATTTAGTGTACAGTGGCAAATATTACATGCATATAAGGACGAGAATATGTAAGTGTGTTATAAATATGAATAAATCTTGGCTCTGTACAAGACATATTTTGCCGAATTTTTAACAAACTAGTTGACAAACCGTCTCTGACAATCTATGGAAATCCAAATAGCATCAGTTTTGATTAAGTCCAGATTTTTTTGTTTTATTTCGTGGAAAAAGGGTACGTTTTACGTACAGTGGCATATATTACATGCATATCAGGACAAGAACATGTAAGAGTGATATGAATATGAATAAACCCTGCTTTGTTACTAGACATACTTTACTTGCCTAGCCGAATTTTCAACGAACTAGTCGACAAACTGTCTCTTACATTCTATGGAAATCGTAATCGCATCGCTTTTTATTAAGTCCAGATTCTTTTGTTTTATTTCGTGGAAAAGAAAATTCAAATTTCAGATACCTCTAACAAGACCGGGGGGTCACATTCTGATATAGCTCTGACCCTCTCAGTCCTACGCTAAGCGTATTATTTGTCATATCAGTTGATCTTTGTTTTTTAAGATTAAGACTCCCGATTCTTATGTTCTATTTCGTGGAAAACGGGAGTGGTAAATATAAATTCTCCGCTAACTCTTACATAGATGTGATTTTATACGAGTAAAACTTGACCCTCACAGTCATAAGTCTTATAAGCACAATATTGTGTTGTATATATTAACACACAACATAGATAAACATTTTCTTAAATATTGTTCATAAAAAAAGTCTGGTTTTTAATCATAAAAAAAAATCCAAACAAAACATGTAAAATATACGGCAAAACTGTATTCAAGTGTAATATATAGCGATGGGTAATTCTTTTGCTTTATGAATTTATGGAAAACTTTCTTTGTATATCATTTTGACTTCGGAGTTAAATTTCATTAATATTTATCAACTTGCAAATGAAGAAATGAAAAAGAAAAAATCATGGGGATTTGTCCCTCATTCTTTTCCATAGAATTGCAGTTTCAATTCACATAATTCTGTAATGTTTTACTCATCATTATTGTCTTTCAATTTAACATAAAACGATCTAATATTTGTACTATATTCGAAGTCAACACCAAAAATCTTCAATTTTGCACAAGTATATGTCATCCTATCATTGTTTTATTTTGACTTTACGTTCTGTTTTTATAACTTAACATTTTACTGTTTCAAGTCAAGACCAAACTACTTCAAATTTACATCGTGTAGTTTCAAGTCAACTCATTGTATGATAAGCCTCTCGTGACGTCATAATGATATAACATCGTGCTATCTTAGCTCAACAACACGTACTTTCAACTGTACGTCGTGTAGTTTTGAATGAGCATATTCTATGGCAAGACTATCGTGATATTATTATGACATAACATCGTGCTATCATAGCTCAACATCACATACTTTCAACTGTACGTTGTGTAGTTTTAAATGAGCATATTGTATGGTAAGCCTATCGTGACATTCAAATGATATAACAACATGCTATCTTAGCATAACATCACCTAGTTTCAACTGAAAATCATGTAGTTTTAAATGAGCATATCGTGTGATAAGCCTATCGTGACATTCTAATGATATAACAAAGTGCTATCTTAGCTTAACAACACGTACTTTCAACTGTACGTTGTGTAGTTTTAAATGAGCATATTGTATGGTAAGCCTATCGTGACATTCAAATGATATAACAACATGCTATCTTAGCATAACATCACCTAGTTTCAACTGAAAATCATGTAGTTTAAAATGAGCATATCGTGTGATAAGCCTATCGTGACATTCTAATGATATAACAAAGTGCTATCTTAGCTTAACAACACGTACTTTCAACTGTACGTCGTGTAGTTTTGAATGAGCATATTGTATAATAAGCCTATCGTGATATTATTATGATATAAGATACTGCTATCATAGCTCAACATCACGTACATTCAACTGTACGTCGTATAGTTTTAAACGAGCATATCGTGTGGTAAGCCTATCGTGACATTCTAATGATATAACAACGTGCTATCTTAGCTTAACATCACGTACTTTCAACTGTGAGTTGTGTAGTTTTAAATGAGCAAATTGTATAATATGCCTATTGTGACATTATAATGATATAACATCGTGCTATCGTAGCTTAACATTACAAAATTTAAACTGTACGTCCTGTAGTTTCAAGTGAGCATCTTAGCTTAACACGTTGCATCGTGTTGTTTTAAGTCAAAAAATTGTATAGTAAACCTTTCGTTTCAATATAGTGGTGTAGCATCGTGTTATCTTAACTTAACATCATGTACTTTCAACTGTGCATCATGGTGTTTTAAACCAACAGATTGCATGATAGACCAATCGTAATATCACAATGATATAACATCGTACTATCTCAGCTCAACATTTATAAATAATAAGTCAGCACCATACATTTTAGCTATTCATTTTATTTGTTATCATTGCTGTCGATGTGGATGACTGAGCAGTATCCATCTGCAAGCTAACATCATGCTACGTCAACTTCACATCATGTACTGTAAACCCAACGTTACGTGTGTTTGGCATATCATCACAACATCGTGACTTATCATTATACTATCACGACTAAAGCACTTGTCATTGTAAGTAAACATTGCGCAGATTCAACTTAGCATATTGTAATTTAGAGTTAGCATTTTGATGACTCAATTCAACATCACGCTGTCTTAACTTTAAATTTTAAGCTACAGCATAACGTTTTGTAAATCTCTAATATATGACAGCTGAGGCTTTCCATAGTTTCTAAATAAAAAGGGTTAAACTGTTATTACTAGAACATCCCATATCGTCTTCTCCGCTACTGCAATCAACCCAGGAATCACACTGATAACTTGAAGGGATGCATTCTCCGTCCAAGCACGTATACTGATCATCAGAACAGCCTGGAAAAAAAAAACAATATCGCTTGCATATAAAATCGTCTACATTGTGTTTTACAACATTATGCGCTGCTTTTTAGAAATTTATAAACGTAAACATTGAATCTGATAATATAACATTGAGCATGAAACCGGGAATGTGCCAAAATGACCAAACAGCAGAAAATAGCCCAAAGTCACACAATCCTGCACCAAGAGGCAGGCTTCATCATACCCCCTAACAAAATGTGTTCTAGTTCAGTGAGAATGGACGTCACACTTAACTCGGAAACATTTAAATGATCCAAACAACTAACAAATGTCAGAAGCTCCGAAATTGGGACAAATGCACGAATACGGCGGGGTAAAACATGATTTGTGTGATCTCAACCCTGCCCTTGTACTTCTCGCAATGTAAAATAAACAACAACACAAATTCACCATTCCTCCCGTTAGTAGTTTAGTATCATACCATCATAACATAAACGAGAGGAAAGTAACCTGGATCATGTTAACAACTTTTGTTTTTAAATAAATGTGTTTATTCCCGATGCAAAGACCCTATTCCTAAAATACCATATGTAATTACCTGACAACAGCATCGTAGCTATATTCCTTCTAAATAAGTAGGTATAAAATTTTGGTTAGATTTTGAGGTAAATGACGATATGTGTTGTACTTTGTATATAATATTACTATAAAAGCATGAACAGATTGAATGTGAAACCCCTGAACGTATAATAAACCTGCATGTTGATTTACATTTACGAATGATGTCATTATACGGATGATATAATTCAGGAAATGTTTTGACAAGTTTTTGATATCGAAAAGCCTTATGTTGTTAACATTAAGAAATGTAAAGTCATCTCGTATATCGGTATTGTACACATCAAAATGGCAGCAAAATGAGATAGATAAATACTCTGTATTTAGTGACTCAACACTTGTAAAACCAAAATCTGCAAAACGCCCGCAAAAATGTCTATCTAGCGATGGCGACCATGGTCTATGCATCGAAACCGAATTAAATGAGATAAGAAATTCAATGAAAAGCATATTGAAAAAAGGAGATGTTAAAATGATTGTCACTGAAACAGTTACAAGCTTACTTGTCCAAATGAAAAAAAAAACAGATGAAAAAAGAACTTAAAGAAGAAATGATGGTTGAAATTCAAAGTAATAAAGAAAAAGTAGAACAGCACTTTAAGTCAGAGGTATCTAGGCAAAGTGCAAGAATAGACAGTGTAGAATTTGACAATGCGAATATCTTAGCAAAAACGCAAACCGTCACAAAGGAAACATACTTTTAGAAGAAGATATTGAAAATACGGGTAGACGTGCAACTGAAGCAATGCAATTGTCAAACTGGAATGAACAATACTCAAGGAAAAAAAAAATTAAAATTTTTGACTTCTAAGAAAAAAAGGGGGAAATATTGCCTCATAGCTTTTTTCATGAGATAAGTAAACTAGATGTAAAAATTGAACCATCAGAAATTGAAGCAGCATACAGGATACCAGGAAAACACGGCAAACCTAGACCAATTCTTGTAAAATTTATGCGCTTGGAATAAAAAATCTCTATATTGCGAAATAGAAAACTAAAGTTAGAAGTTCTCATCTCTAACGATGTCACAAAATTTAACCAAGGGTTTCTAAATAGTTTATACGTGCATGAGGATGTCACCAGTGCGTGGTATTTCAACGGACATATATTTGGCACTGGCAGCAAAGGGGAACACCATCGTTTTGACATTTATGACAACATTAGGCTGAAACTCAACTCATAAGAATATATTCTTAAAATGACCGGTTTTAACATTTGTTGTACATTTATTCAAAATTGTTTATTGTCGTTTATTCTTTGTTGTTATTCTTGTAGAAATGTTCAACGCCAAAGTTAAAAGTATGAATCTTTTTATTGTAGCCTGTATTATCTTGGAGTGGCGTACCTAATTTGTTTTTTTACGGAATTTAAGGTCTTTTTTCGTATTGGTCTTTAATTTTTCTATCCGTTTCAAGATTTCCGGTAGAAAATTTAACAAAAACAACACATTTGAAATACACATTTTTTAATATTATTGGTTAGAAGGTAATCGGTTTTTCAATCTGATCTTCGACTTAAAAGCTTCTTTGACATTACACTGATATGTAAAAAATACACCGAGCACCGTCTACTATTGGAAACAGAAGTATAATCTTATTTGTTCTATACGATAATAATGAATATATAAAAACCGTATGATGGAGTGAAAGGAACATCGCCGTCTAAAAAAAGGAAAATTAACAATAGGGAATTACAAATCGTCTCTTTTGTCTTAAATTTTAGTGTGGAGTTTCCCATACTTGTATTCAACATATTATTACTGACAATTCATAAATATACGTAAACATATGTTGTAGCAATTGTTTTCAACACATATTATTGTTCGATGTTAAAACACATTTACTTGAATGCCTACACAAGCAAACAACATATGGAAATGAATTGTGATACTGAGGCAACATAAATGAGAACATAATGGATAAAACAGATATATGATGAAAGTCTATGACAAGTAGAAACAAAATGCAAATTTAATATAAACATCTAGGGTTTATCTTGTGATATATTAATATGGATTTGTATTTTTGGTAGTAGACAATTTCGTTTCAACACATTTGTGAAGAGGTTTTGTTATTTGAAATACTTACAAAATACTGTTCCCAAAAATAGTCCAAATACTAGTACTACCTTCATAATTGTGTATGTTTTACAGGTAACTAAAAAGAGAAATGATATCATCGAAATTAAGAATAACTAACTTTGAAATGTTTAATGGCCAACTAGTAAGGTTTGGTAAAAATAGCTTAAGACTTTTATTATTCGTATATTTCTTATCAGCCCAGTAGTCAGTATTTATCAGTTGACATGATTTATTATAGATATGGTCACTTCTGTAAATTAACGGATGCGAAAACTTTCTTCGCATTTTTCGAAATACTTAGGATGTGCTATCTAGGATTACATTACCTTAACTGTATCTGTCAAAATTGTTGGTCTTTTTTTCGCCTTCAACTCCGTCCTCCATTTAATCTTTTGAATAGTTTTGATTTCAGTGTAACGAGTGAGTCTTTTGTTGACAAAGCGAGATTCTGATGTAAACAATTTTAATGCTGGTATCTATGTTAAGTGTATAATTATTACTTTAGAATTCCTGACTTGTTCATGTACTAGAATGTTTCAAATGTACGTAATGGGTTTAACTCAGTGGAAAATAGGAAGACTATTAATGTAATCATGGTAATACTGTGCATTAATTTGCAATATGAAATACTGAACACAATCTTTAAAAGGATTTCAATTCATACGTTTATTCACTTTATACTTTTATACAGTATATCAATTTGAGAACAAATAGTGATAAAAAAAATCTCAAAGAAATACATGGTAAAATGAGAATAATTTTCTCGGTATATCTATTGATCATTCTCTTACAGTTTCATGGTTTTATCTCAATTTTGAAATAAAGATGTTTTCGCGAAAATTTTGAATTTTATTAGAAATCAGTTCCCGCGAGGATCACGCTAAAATTTATTTTAGGAACAATTCAGGTAATCTTCATATGAAAAAATCATGTGAATTGCACCTGAGATGCACGTGAGCATCACATGATATTCACGTGAACCTATTATATCTTAGTCCACGTGAGGTTTGAATTACTGATCCCGCGTGACGTTAATTTTCAAAGTATTCTTATACTATCTCAAGCTTATACGCATCTGCAACTGTCAATGTTTATGATCACTAAATCAAATATATGATATATAAAAGATGAGATTTAAGTTTGTTTAGCTTAAATGATAAGCACAAGGTCATTAATACAATTTTATACTGATTACAACATAGACAATAAAATGAAATTTCAACAATTATAATACATTGAATCTAATACTTACATTTGTTGTCAGCAGTGGAAGCCAGGTCAGAACGTGGCGTTATTAACACAACCGCTCCATATATATGCAAAATTGTTTAGCTATGCTTTAATTTGATTGGACACAGTTTTAAGTCGCAGTTAATAAATTTAAATGATAATAAAAACATTCAAAAGATGGATCTAGACCGAAAACTATATCGACAAACCGGATCCACAAAAATACATTTGTCAATAATGTATTACGAGATGGCCATATTATAGACTAGGATGCAGGTGGGTAGCAGAGTCTACTTTTGGCCTGTATAGAGAATTTTAAAATGTAGATTGTCCTATCTGTATCTAATTTAGGAGAGTCTATTATTGAAAAAGAGAATCGTGTTTGAATTATTGAGGTCGTATGTAATTGCAATAGGAACAGAACATTTATATTGTTGACAGTGTTTTTATCCATATATGTACCTTTACTTTTGAACAAAATATAATAACCTACAATTAACAGTATTTACTAAAGGTGCACTAGTTACGAGAGACAAACAATACTCTGATTTGTTTTGTTCAATCAGGAATGAAAGTGAAATAATGAAATAATAATTCGTTTGTAGCAGACAGTTTGGACAAAATAAGCCAATAAACATCGCTGATGAATAATTCACTTGCTAGTAATCAATTCTACTTCATTGAGTTTATACTCATGTGATTTTCACTTTAACCCCTTAGGTAGGGATTGGTAGTACATAAATTAGTCGTGATGCGTTATTAAAAGGACAAGAATGCCAGCATTACAAATGAAACAAGAATAAACCATTTGATAAACTGATTCGATCAACAAAAACTTTTTTCTAGAAAAGAGATGATTATCATATATTTTTAGCTTATGATATGAAATCAAACAGACCTTAAAAAATTCAATTGCATAAGTTCCCAATCTATTTACTTCTTTATTTGTCTTCACATCGAATAACATGACCGTTGGCAGTCTTGTGATGTCACATCGATTGTTAATTATATGACAAATCTTTAAAAAATATTAATTTAATAATCTGTTAAAAAAACAACAGAAATCAACAGATCATTTTTTAATTATTAAAAAATGTTACGTTTTAGTTTTTGACTACATTTGAAGTATTTTTAAAACATGTACCGTTACTCCTCGTTACTTATGGATTAAAACTGGATCTGAAAAACAAACTGTATAAAAAGTGTTCTTATGAAAAATAAAAAGATTAGAATATCTATCAACAGACGGAAAAAAAGGTTAATATCCAACAATGAACTTGTTGTATCATTGATCGCAATGTTTACGCATTTTCTTAAGAAGGTAGATTTTAACATTAATACTTCATTGTGAAAGACACATTTTTGGATAAGTAAAAAAATACGCCGAACTTTCTAACTGGTCTATTTATATGTCAAATTGTTTACTCCAATATTTCTCGGAAGTGCACAATGGAAAACATTTTAAAACATTATAATTATAGAACTAGTCAAGGCTGCATACATGATGTGTCGACTTAAAACATGTATTATCTTGATTTATAAACGATTCAGTAGCGCATTTTAACTTAGCTCATGTGATTAAGAAACACGACAAAACAAGACAATTAGATTGCATCAGATATTTGCATCCATGGATATGTTTAATTATTATTTATGTTCGAATCTAATTACAAAAGAAAATTCATTGTCAAATATGTATGCTAGAAAAAATATTATGTATAATAAACAGACTTCCTGTATCATGTTTTCTTTTATTCATTCATTTAAGACAGGATGTATACTATAAGAAACCGACAAACACATCTTTAATTGAAAAGTATGAAATTTAGAGACATGAATAATTAAGCAGTTCAAGTTTGTTAATCTGTGTTCTAATCAATAGACAGTCTAAGTCAAACAATTCTCTGTATCATTTAACAAGATATTCTACATCTAACTTCTAATAAACTTATTATAAAAAAGTCACGATTATTACCCAGTACCTAATAACACCAATATGATGAAAGAAATATAATGGATACATCATTGAAATGTTAACAAAATATTATACAAGTATCAAATTTAACATCAAATGCTTTCCGATTGATATAACGACCTTACAATGAAGAAAAGTGAAACGCGTCTTTATAATAATCGTCACTTAATAAATGCTGTATAACAGGCTAATCTTTCGAAAAAGTGTAAGAATGTTATTCAAATAATATTTAAACTTGAATTCGTAATAGTGGTAAAGTATCGGTAGATGAAATATTACGCTTTACACTTCATATATATATATATAACATTACTTGATGCATATTTACTCGTTTTTCAACCAGTTTTATTCATTAATATAAATATCTTTCTCGTAAAAGAATGTTAGCTTAATTCCAAAATTTATGGTAATTAACTCATCATAGATACCAGGATTAAAATTATATATTTACGCCAGACGCGCGTTTCGTCTACAAAAGACTCATCAATGATGCCCGAATCAAAACATGTTTAAAAGGTCAAATAAAGTACGAAGTTGAAGAGCATTGAGGACCAAAAATTCCTAAAAGTTTTGCCAAATACATCTAAGTTAATCTATCCCTGAGGTAGAAAAAGAAAAGATTAGACGATTTTTCATTTCCTATTGCATGTATTGTTAGTTATCCATTTTAAGATGGTGATGTTCCCTTTAACGATTTTCTTTATATCACAAACTTGTCAAAACATTTAATAAATTCACCATCGGTACAAGGACATCAATCGTAAATGTAAATCAACATACAGACATCTATTAAGTTTATAAATTTCAGATCCAGTCTGTTATGGGAGTATCATTTACAAAGCACAAACATGTCGGCATTCACCTCAAAAGCTAACAAAACCTTTAAGCAGACTTATTAAGAAGGGATATAGTTACGATACTGTTGTCAGGTCATTGAGAATGACACATTTTGGTAAGAATATTGATTCACATATAGGGTCTTTGCATCGGTAATAACCACATTTATTTCAAGACCAGTTATTGGCATGATATGGGTTATGTTCATCTCATATATTGTATAATGACATGATAATAAACCCCGAGGTAGGAATGTGGTTGATTTTCATATGATCAAGACATAATATTCCAATCAATTTGAGATATGGAGCTGTCAAGTCAGTAACTGTTAGTAGTCCTTTGTTAATTTATTCATCTTTGTCGTTTTGTTTAGTTTCTTTTGTTGCCAATTCTGACATCGGACTCCGACTTAATTTTACTTTGCGTTTTAATGTCTGTTTATTTATTCGACATTGACTAGAGGTATAGGGGGAGGGTTGAGATCTCCCAAAACATTTTTAACCAAGCTGCATTTTTTCGCCTGTCCAAAGTCAGAAGCCTCTCATCTTTGCTATTCTTTTATAATTTTTTAATTTTAGGTCATTTATTTGTTTTGGAGTTTAGTATGACGTCAATTTTTACTCAACTAGTACACCTTTTTATTTAAGGGCCAGCTTAGGCCCACCTCCGAGTGTGGTATTTTCTCGCTACGTTGAAGACCTATTGGTGACCTTCGGCAGTTATTTGCTCTGTTGGTTGTTGTCACATTGACATATTCCCCATTTCCATTCCCATTTCAATTGATGCACAATTCATTTTAAATAAAGGTAGATTCATGGGTCTTCAACGTAGTAAAAAAAATATATACGAGACTGATAGCTGGAAATTTTTGATTTTACTTGTAGCAAGAAAACAAGTTCGGTGACACCATTTCTCTTTTTATTTTCTTAAAACATATTATAAAACCTAGCTTCTCTCAATTTAATTCAAAATTATATCTCAGAATTTTTTTTTATGCACACAAATGTGTTTTTTCATGAACAATGTAACCAAATTTAGTAAATTTTCAACGAGTCATAGCTTGGAAAAAAGCACGGTGATCAGTACTTTTTATTATAATTTTGAAAAAAAGCATAGTAAAATCTTCATTTTGGCGAAGTATAAGAACATTCTATCTCAAAAAGTATATACTTATGATCTACCTTAATGTTTAATAAACAAATAAAAGGAAATTAGACCGAATAAAGTTATGAAACTTATTTTTTTAAGCATGTGTACGGGTTTGTGAAAGAAAATTTCAACGTAAGATTAACAATCAGCATGTTGAAGCTTACACAAAAGCAAATTCAATAAACTCTAGGATGGTCGTCAAATAACAAATATCGCTTTCAGAAAGAAACAAAAAGAATTATCTAATGGATCTATTGCCCTAGGATACGGCACATTTGGTTTTAAATAAGCAATTGTTCTTACTTCTAAAGTATAAATCATGCCAAAGCAACCACTGACATGTGGGTAGGTGATTATCGACGAAATTAACAGATACAAAACATACACAAACGACAAAACAATAATTTGAAGAAAAAAATAGTAAAAACAATTTAGTGTTAGTAGAAAATCCAATTAAATCATTTCGAAATGAAGGCTACTAATCTTATTTTCATTAAATAAGTTTAAAGAAAAACCCGTAATAAATAATAGAAAACCAGAGGTATTCCAAGAAAACGCAGTATTTCAAAAACACCATTAAATGCGAAAAAAAATGGATTACATGCACATATATTTGTTGAAGGTCTTTTGAACAAGTAAAGTAGGAAATTAATGACACGTAAATCATGTCAAACGGCGGTAAAGTTATGTAAGAACATTCATTTGCAATACTGTATAAAGACATGTCAAGTTAAAACTTGTCATAATATTGAACCGTACTTATTTGATGACAATGTTGTTAAAATATATTAACCCATTTTGTTTTTGTTCTTGAACTGGTTTTCCAAAACATATCGCTATAAATTGATATGTACATAAGATGCATGCTGTAACATAGTTATTTTTGTAAATGGTAAACAAATTGTTAATTGTAGACTTATTGTAATTAGTATATGTGTTTAAGTATGTTAAAAATTAAAATGAGAATTTGAAACCAAATTTAATACACCTTTTTAGATAAAACAAATATCTTAGCCGAATTTGAATCTTTCTAACTGACCTTGTTATCTGTAAAAAAAAAAGCAATATTTACAACGACAAATATGTTTACTTCAGTATTTTAACAGAAGCAAAC